GGGATTCAGACGAACGTAGAAAGCGTCAAAAACAGGCCTTTGACTCTTTGCAGGCAGTCACACGGACGGGGACGTGAATGCTGCACACAGCGAGGTGAAACTTTGCTCTGTGGTTCGTGTGAACGCAGCTCTGGATCGGCGTGGGGAGCCTTACAGGGAGCGCTCCTCGTCCCGGATCTGCCTTCATGAGGAAACACCTGCAGATGCTTGGGCAGGGTCTCGGTGACCTTTGACCTGATCAGTAAGTCATCATTGATGGATTCGTGGCGCTGTGATACAGACTATGAGCCGGTATGATAGCTAATGACTTCCTGTGGTTGCTACATTGGACTCAGAGGCGTAGATGGACGCGTGATGGCGGCTGATGTTCTGCAGAAGCTTGGTGGTGCGTCCCCGGCTTCAGATGCCCATGTAGGTGTTCATCTTCCCCAGGGCGTCGCACACGGTGGTGAGGTCGCTGCGCAGGTCCTGCACCACGTCCTCGATGCTGCGGGTGTCTTTGAGCAGGTCGACGCTCTGAGTGTACGGGTTGTAGTACACCGAGAACGGGCGCTTTATCGTCTTTGCAAACTCTCTGCGGGAAAGGAAGCACGCACAGGAAGTCACGGCGGGCTCGGTCCAGGCAGGAGTGTAGTTCCTGTTCAGACTTTAAAACACTCACGATGCGTTCAGGGACTACTCGCCGCTTACCTCATCTTCTCCTTGGCCTCCTCAAAGCTCTCCGACACGAAGTAAACCTCTTGGAAGGTGGTGATGAGACACTCCTGGTTGCAGGTCGTCTTCGGGTCAAACATCTTTACACACGCCTTTTCAGACAGGGCATGCTGGGAAAAACATCAGCAGACAAACATCACTTCCACCGTGCGTGTGTGCGCGCGTGCATGTGCGCGTGCATGTGTGCGTCTGTGTGTGCGTCTGTGTGTGCACTGTGTGTGTTACCCTCAACTCTCCAATAGACGACAGTAGACCGGCTCCATAAGCTCTCAGCTGACCGTCCTGTTTGCACAGTCCGAACTCGATGGTGAAGAAATAACACTGAAACACACGAGGCTCCATCACTGATCGATCACTGATTGATCACTGATTGGTGTCTTTAAAAACTGGTTTCTATCATCAGCTGTTCAGACGGCCTGTGCTTTCATGTAATACCATTTTGCACCACAGGGGGGGTGTAACCACGCTAACCCTCACAAACAGCAGCTCTGAGCAGCAGCTGGGTGGAGCTTCTGTCCCATCTCTGTGATGTCATGGAGATGTATGACTATAAAAACTGTGTGAAACTGAGTCTTTAGAGCGCATGTCTTTG